CAGCCATCTCTCTCTTTTTTGACTACATGCATCGAAGAAGCAACATCTGCTTAGCCAAGGATGCTTTCTTGGCTCCAGCCAAGAGAGGACAAAGGGACTGTCTTCTTATGATATAGTTTCCAGGTATATGTTACTTTTCTAAGCTAAGTCTGCCTTCTGGGATCCGATTGTGAACAGAATGATATGTGAGTAAACTCTTTTTATACTTTTATAGAAGACTGTGTCTTGTCTTATCTTTTATGAGGGAATAAGGGGGAAATACCAGAACAGATATTATAGAGGCTTTAGCGAGCCTGAGCAAATGCATCCGCTGCAAGTTTAAAAAGGGGAATGTTACTCTGCTAAAATTGTGAACTTGTTAACACAAGTTTGAAAGGCTATAATCAGACAATATATCCTCTCCTGCATCCCTGAACATTCCCACAGTTACATCATTTAAAGGCCAATTGTTTTCCTTTTTTCTTTTTGTAAATACAGTTTCAATACACACTGCATTGTGGGTTTTGTAGTCTTAAGGGCTGCATAAACAGTCCTTCTTGCATATGCATCTCTTGCTCAAGGGAGCAAAAATGGTTTGTTGTGAAGGGTTAAAAAAAAATCACACCAACACAGATGGTTTGGCACAAAAGAGGTTAAAATAGCATGAGAAAGCGCAGATGGCTTGGTGCAAAAATGTCAAAAAAAATATTGCGAGAATGCAGATATTGCAAGAACACATTATGGTTGTTCTTGTAAGCACAACTCGCGCAGTGGATTTGTCAAAGGCATGGTGGATTTCTATGAACAGCTGCCAACTTTGTTGGATCTGGGGTTCAGAAATGGCAGAACTGCTATATTCAACCAAAATTCCACTGTTTTCAAATTTCAGGTGCAACTCTAGGCTAAACTGTTCCAGGAAGAACTTTTATGGAGTGAAGGTCTGGAGAAAAAGCCTTGCAGATTGGAGACAAACACACAGCTGCTCCTATATATGGAAAGTATCATATAGAACTGTAGTCCCCACCCCACCCCCATAGACCACTTGAAGTTAGCTGAAGGTTTTGGTGGACCACTTAATGATTTTTCTGCCTGTTTTAGCACTTGCAATGCACTATGGAAGATGCTGGGTGATTTTTAATTACCGTATTTTTTGCTCTATAAGACTCACTTTTTTCCTCCTAAAAAGTAAGGGGAAATGTGTGTGCGTCTTATGGAGCGAATGCAGGCTGCGCAGCTATCACAGAAGCCAGAACAGCAAGAGGGATTGCTGCTTTCACTGCGCAGCGATCCCTCTTGCTGTTGTGGCTTCTGAGATTCAGAATATTTTTTTTCTTGTTTTCCTCCTCCAAAAACTTGGTGCGTCTTGTGGTCTGGTGCGTCTTATAGAACGAAAAATACGGTATATGCTTAATGCTTCTACTTTTTCTTGTATATTGTCTTTTCTATTGTATTATATTGCATTTTCTCGTGGGTATGGGGGCAACCCGGGGTGCCAACTTGAATAAAATATTGGGGTGGCTGGTAAGCCCTTCCCCACATAATCCATCACATTACAGGCACACTATTTGAATGGCAATGCCCATCAACATGGGAGAGGGGCAGCCTCCTCAAAAAAAGATAATTTATGGGTGACCAAAGACCTTTGGGCCCCTAGGATTTGAAAGCTATGAATCGGTGTGTGGCTTTTGCACTTCAAAATACCATTAAAAACAAACGCCAAGACTTCAGGTTGACTTGAGGCCTAGGGTGTCGACACCTCACTCTACCCCCTGCTTCTAGGGTGAGACGCTAGTCCAAGAATATCAGCAAAGTTTATATATATTAGGGGACGCAGGTGGTGCTGTGCGTTAAACCACAGAGCCTAGGACTTGCTGATCAGAAGGTCGGCGGTTCAAATCCCCACAATGGGGTGAGCTCCCGTTGCTCGGTCCCAGCTCCTGCCAACCTAGCAGTTCGAAAGCACATCAGAGTGCAAGTAGATAAATAGGTACAGCTCCGGCGGGAAGGTAAACGGTATTTCCGTGCGCTGCTCTGGTTTGCCAGAAGCGGCTTAGTCATGCTGGCCACATGACCCAGAAGCTGTACGCTGGCTCCCTCGGCCAATAAAGCCAGATGAGCGCTGCAACCCCAGAGTCGGTCACGACTGGACCTAATGGTCAGGGATACCTTTACCATACACACACACACACACACACACACACATTACTTTACCAGATAGATAGATAGATAGATAGATAGATAGATAGATACACATATATATTACGATCAGTCAGACACTCTGTGTTTTCGCATTCTGGAGAACATTCGCAGCCACACTGGGATTATGATTATTTTGTTAAGGTAGCGCGCAACTTAATGAATCATATACATCAGGGAAAGGAGAAAGTGGAGAGCGCGTGGGACGGGATAATTCCCGGCTTCTTGCAGGCGAGGAGACAGCCAAGGTCTCACGCACAGGCGTTGTCCTAACCGAAGGGAGTGAGACTCCTGGTGGCGTCGGCGGTGTCTGGATGGGAGCGCGCGCGCGCCTTGAGCATCGCACACGTCGGGTGAATAATTCATTGGCCAGTCAGGTAGAGGCGGGCGGGGCGAGGCGCGGCACGTAGCAACCCCGGGCCAGTCTTGTTCTGGAGGAGACTCTCATTTGCAAAAAGACAACGTCGGGCGCTCGAATCCTGAGCGTCGCCAGGACGGCCCATTGACTTCACTAGGGCCACCCGCGCCTGCCAACACACCCCACAAGGCGGCCAAGGAAACGGAAGTTTGCCCAGTCGGCAAAGAACATACATACACACCTGGGGAGGGGGTTTGATCCCTGGTGGTTTTAAGGAGGAGCAATGACTTCCAAGCGAAGGGGTTCAGCTAAATCTTGTACAGTATTTTAAAATAATTTTCTCCCGAGGCCTCCCGATCCGCAACTGCGTTGGAGGCAACACGAAGGCCAAACAGGTGATTTCTGTCCCCCGAGGGTTCGATCCCGGATCCCGTTTTGCAACGTCATTCCTTGCGGATAGGAAGAGCGTTCATCTGGGCATGTACAGAGCAGCATCTCTCCTGTCATTAACCACAGCCAAACTTAATACTTTTTGGAGGTAAAGAAAGGAGGTTGGTTGTTAGTTCAGAGAAGTCACGGTTCTCAAAGTTTGAGCCTTTGTATCCTTCTTTATTTTTACAGCAATTCTAGTTTTAAACAACAGTGCTTATGATAAATAAGATTGTGAATTTGGGTTTAGTTTCTTTTCCGTGAAGATGCCACTTTAAACACAGCCGGTGGAGCGTCTCACCGATTTCAGTGCGAGCTGCTTCGGAGTAAAGTCCACAAAGACCCGACATTTTCCCAGTAGTGATGTATGGAAGTGAGAGCTGGACCATAAAGAAGGCTGATCGCCGAAGAATTGATGTTCTTGAATTATGGTGCTGGAGGAGACTCTTGAGAGTCCCATGGACTGCAAGAAGATCAAACCTCTCCAGTCTGAAGGAAATCAGCCCTGAGTGCTCACTGGAAGGACAGATCCTGAAGCTGAGGCTCCAGTACTTTGGCCACCTCATGAGAAGAGAAGACTCCCTGGAAAAGACCCTGATGTGGGGAAAGATGGAGGGCACAAGGAGAAGGGGACGGCAGAGGACGAGATGGTTGGACAATGTTCTCGAAGCTACCAGCATGAGTTTGACCAAACTGCGGGAGGCAGTGGAAGACAGGAGTGCCTGGCGTGCTCTGGTCCAGGGGGTCACGAAGAGTCGGACACGACTAAACGACTAAACAACAACAACAAGACCCGGGCTGCTTACAGATTGGGCGGACAGTGAAACGCTGGAAGGCCTGCCTAGTCCAGCATCCTGTTCTCACGGTGGATAAGCAGATGGCCACGGGAGACCCGCAAGCAGGATCTGAGCGCAACAGCGCTCTCGCCTCCTGCGCCTCGCAGCAAGTGGTATTCGGAGGCGAACTGCCTCTCTCGGTGGAGGCAGAACATAGCCACCGCGGCTAGGAACCAATGATAGCTTCGCCGATGCAATCCAAACATCAGGGCTTCAGTGGTACCTGCGCTGGCCTGCCAGAAACATGCCTATTCCGAGACTCTTCTCCAGACCTGAAATAGCTTTCCACCTGGATTTTCCTTTCCTTCCAGCGAGGAGGAGCGTCCCCTGCCCTATTCCGCAATCTGCAACGGGATCCACTGCCTAGTTAAACCAGAGTCATGCCGCAGCCCTCAACACGCACACACAACACTCCTGTCCGTCAAATGTTGCTGGACTACAACAGCTCCCATCGTCCCTGACCATTGGCTACGCTGGCCGGGGCTGATGGGAGTTGGAGTCCAACAATACCTGGAGAGCCACACAGGTGTCCCCCATCTCCTGCACAAGGGCGCAAGTAATCTCCACTTCCACACACTGAGGCTTACTTCTGAGTAAACATGTTTAGGGTGGCGCTTCCGCGCGCGCACACTTTCCGCCTTCCTTCCTTATTTTATTCTTCATCCCGATCTGCCAAGCCGGAGTGAGCTATGCAAGACCACGGGACGACTATTCTTTTCTAGAAGAAGGTTGCCCCAAGAATACAACACCCTTGTTACATTTTTTTTAATATTAAAAAAATCAACGTCAGCTCTATTCCAAAGGTAGACTGCCTCTAAAGGTGGACGTTTAGCTATCTCACTTACTGATCGCTCCTCCTCAAGGTGGCTCTAATCTTCTCTGATCTAATGGCCATCGCCAGTACTGGTGGCAGGGAATTCCAGGGACCCCGCTCGGCGGAAATCATCCCGACCTAAGTGGTTTGTGAATTGAGCTGGCTTGATCCTTTCCCCCAACATCACATGAGTATTGGATCCATTCTGTCCCACTCCCGTTCAAGTTGCCTCCAGAGAATGTGGGCTGGCTGGGGGTGGCTATATTTCTCCCCTCCTCTGGGGAGCCCCTTTCGCTTGTATCCGTTTATGAATTATTCGCAACCCGCGAGCCTTGACGGGGGCGGCGCGGGGAGGGGGGACCCGGAATCAGCCTGCTGGTGCGTAAAAGCGCTGCTGGCGCCGAGGGCCGCGCGTCCCTGGTGCGCTGTGCGCTTCTCCAGCGTGGCCAGGGGTGACCCTCGCCTCTCCGCCGCCGTCTTCTTCCTCCTACGTTCCTTCTCCCGCCGGGGTTCTTGCGAGGCGTCCTTCTCTCGCCTCCCCCCCCACCCCCCGCCCAGCCTCAGAAGGGCTGGAGAAGCGAGCCTCGTTTAGACTCCAGGCATGTAGGGGAGAGCTGTGAGATCACCCGGGTTATAAATATCTCCGTGCCAGCAGCTCCGCGCTCTCGGATCGCGCTCTCCCTCCAGAGGGCCGACGATGCCTTCCCTGCGCGCCGGAGCGCACGCCCGTTTGCCCCAGAGGTGCCGCGGCATTCGCAGCCGCCTCCGCAAAATGCCCTGCGCGTCCCTCCCGCTGGAAGAATGAGCTTGTCTTTCTTCCTCTGCCTTCTCTTTCTCAGCCACCTGATCCTCCTCGCTTTGGCACAGAAGGAGACGTTGCCCCCCAGAGCGCAACTTGGAGACGCGGCTTTGCGTGCCAAAAGCAGCAGCAGAAGCAGGCTTGGAAGTAGGAATACTTCCTCCTCCTCCTCCTTTTCAGCCCCTTCCCCTTATTTCGCCCCCTCTTCGGGAGTTCAAGGCAGCGGTTCCGAAAGGAGCAGTTTCCAGTGGAGCCCATCCGGGCGCAGAACCGGCAGCCTCTATTGCAGAGTGGGCATCGGTTTCCATCTCCAAATCCACCCCGATGGGCATGTCAACGGCTCCCACCAAGGCAGTATCTTAAGTAAGTGCGTTTCGCTCCTCTCTCCGCCCCTTGCCTGGGGAACTGGGGCCACTCGGGGACATAAAATTCAATGTTGCAGTTCAGGGTATTCATTCTTTAATTTTTTTTAAAAAGAGCATTTTTACTGGTTGGTTTTATAGGAATCTGTGTGTAGATGCTTATTCCTAAACGTTCTTTTTAAAAAACAAAATCGCACACATTTTAGTCTTGCTCGGTGTAAGTGCGGCTACCTACCTGCCCAGATCCCTTGGGACCCTAGGACTAAGAACTTTACGCATTTGATGTAAATTCGGTTAAAATGAAAAGCTTGGCTTCTGGGTACACGCTGAAGTCCCTGTGTTGCAGCCCAGAGCCGTTCAGAGGGACGCAGCTCAAAGAGATGGAAATTTCGTCAGTGACTTCGACAGCAAGTAGATTGCTTCCATAGCAGGTGGAGATCCTAATAATCTGTCTTCAATTTGGCCTCTGTAGGGAATGCAGAGAAGCAAGGTGGACTTCCCCACCCCCCACCGAAAAAAACCCAACTCCCTGGCTTGTTCTTATATTGTTTATCCTTCTTCATAGAAGTTTACAGCCTGATTGGGGAGAGCAGGGAACAGAGGCCATTCTATGCTGGTGTCTGCATGTGGGATACACAGCATTTTGTAAATGGAAAAGTGCCATTAATAACTTTACTACTACTAATGATAATAACAATAGTGATGGCTTTAAGCAGGGCACAGACTACTGCAGGTTTTTCTTTGCACAAATCAACGTTTTAGTGTCTTCTTTGCTTCTGAGTACCTTGCCCCTGCTTCACTCCTGTCCTATTTGAATTGTGGATTCAGACTGCAGTCTGATAACCCTTTACCTGGGAGTAAGCTCCTTTGAACACGTTGGGCCGTGCCTCTGAACGGACATGGGTAGGATTGCATCACACTTCCTCTGCACACTTTCCCAGAATTAAGTTCCCCTGGGATCTACTTAAAAAGTGAAACAAGCCAGTATCAGCTATAGTACAGTCGCATGTGAACAGCTGAATAACACAGCATGTCATGTTCACCTGTTGGTGAACATTTTATGTTTTGCCGATGGGAACCATCAGAAGCGGACTGATAATTCCAAATGCAAATGGGAACAGTGATGGGAATAGTGGAAAAGGCCGTGGCTGGGGAGCATACACAGTTTGAATAGCCAATGTCCAGTTTATATAGCCAGCATGAAGATCATGTATTTGAATCTTCCCAACATCCAAAAACCCTTGTACGTTGCATGTCAGGAAGGAAGGTTTAGATTAGCTAAACTGTATTTCTACATGGAACCCCCACTTTTAAAAGCATCCCCCACTTTCTCAGTTATGAAGTTATGAAATATGCAGTTCTCTGTCAGCAGTCTGATACAGGACAAACTTTACTGCTCAAGTTTCTATTGCAACTGATTAAAAAAAAAGGTGTGGGGGGGAAGCAAACTACTGAGAATAACAGTGCTTCTTGGGACTTAGCAGAACTGAAACTATTTGCAAGGAGTGGTTAGATTTCTCCAGCAAATTCTAAATGACAATAGGTTTTGTTGTAATATGAGACCATTTTGGCACATTAAGTGGTATTTTTAAATAAAATAATAATGATAAATTTTATTAGGATTTCCCCCTTCAGCATTACTGAAGATGCAAAATCCTTGAATTTAGTAAAATGAAAAGATTACTGTCATAAAGTTTATCGAGAGTTTTAAGTTTTCCTCCTGCAGTGGAAAGGGATTAGTGACTATCGCTGAAAGTTTAATTTTTAAAAAGGAAAAATAGTAATGTTTTAAGTATCTCCCAAGTCCTATTGAAATTCTGGAATGCTGCTGAAGTATCTGATTTCCATGAAACTTTGTTTTGGCTCTATTGCCTAGTGCAGGTGGTCATAGGCCTAATTCTCACTGGGGTGGCAACTTGTATGTCACTCCAGACTGTAGGTTGGAGAAGATTGGACAGCTTCTCCCTGCCCCCCCCAAAAAAAACCTCATTGCATGTAGAGATCTAGCATGTCAGGGTGATTGCTAGAGTAGGACCCTTCTCCCTAACCTGCTACTTTTCTGTATACAGAGGTGGAGTTATAGCAAAGAGCCACTCCCTGCAGTCTGGAATTGTGCATCCCTAACTGAGGGACGCGGGTGGCGCTGTGGGTTAAACCACAGAGCCTAGGACTTGCCAATCAGAAGGTCCCGTTGCTCGATCCCTACTCCTGCCAACCTAGCAGCTCGAAAGCACGTCAAAGTGCAAGTAGATAAATAGGTACCACTCTGGCGGGAAGGTAAACAGTGTTTTCGTGCGCTGCTCTGGTTCGGCAGAAGCAGCTTAGTCATGCTGGCCACATAAAGCCTTGGCCAATAAAGCGAGATGAGCACTGCAACCCCAGAGTCGGCCACGACTGGACCTAATGGTCAGGGGTCCCTTTACCTTTAACTGAGGGTGGGAGGACACAACATGCAACAGGTCAAATGCAGCCCTCCCTCCTCTCTTTCTGACATCTCAGACTCTCTTGAGGCCACATACCCCACCAGCCATGTTCTATGTCCCCCATCAAGTGCTTTTCTCTGGAGGCTAAAATGTGTCCTTGAACTATCACAGCCCCTCTAGCCTGGATGGAGAGATGCTGGGATGGTGATACAGAAAGCCCTGTTGGCTTTTGCATGGCTGAGATGTTGCCCTCCTATCTCTTTTGTTGCTCCACCCACTTTTGGCTCCGCCCCCACCCATCACTTGCACAAATCAGTGGGCCGCAAATCAGCTTGGTCCTTTTGCTTACAGAGCTGTAAGCGATAAAACAGGGGCCAGCAAACTTTTTTGGCAGGGCCAGTCCACCATCCCTCAGGCCTTGTGGACTATATTTTGAAGAAGAAGAAAAATGAGTGAATTCCTATGCCCCACAAATAACCCAGAGATGAATTTTAAATAAAAGGACACATTCTACTCATGTAAAAACATGATGCGGTCCCCGGGCCTTAGTTTGCCTACCCATGTCATAAAAGGTTAACTTCATAACCATGCTCTCCCCACTGACTTCCAGGAGAATAATTCTGATTTAAGTAAGATTAAATTACCATAGATTAGAGGACCTACCTGTTTACCTTTGGCTTCTTGTCTTCTGTGCTCACACCTCTCTCCTAGAATACCTGTGTGGCTGCCTCATTCTCTTTTCTTTAATCCTTGTTAATCATTGGGGCAAAGGCAATGCACCACCGAGGTAGATTAGGGTAAAAGATAGTTACTGGCCCAAGGTCATGCAGTGACCTACCCTAACCTACCTCAGAGGGACACGGGTGGCGCTGTGGGTTAACCACAGAGCCTAGGACTTGTCAATCAGAAGGTCGGCGGTTTGAATCCCTGCGATTGGGTGAGCTCCCATTTCTCGGTCCCAGCTCCTGCCAACCTAGCAGTACGAAAGCACCTCAAAGGGCAAGTAAATAAATAGGTACCGCTCCGGCGGGAAGGTAAACAGCGTTTCCGTGCGCTGCTCTGGTTCGCCAGAAGTGGCTTAGTCATGCTGGCCACATGACCCGGAAGCTGGATGCAAGCTCCCTCGGCCAATAAAGCGAGATGAGCACTGCAACCCCAGAGTCGGCCACAACTGGACCTAATGGTCAGGGGTCCCTTTACCTTTTACTCTATAGCTCAAGGTGCAAGACAGCCCCTCTCTTGAGTGTAAAAACAAGCCCCATCTTATTCTGTCTTATTTCGGTTTGATCAACCACATCCGAAGATTTTTCAGTCTTTATCACTTAATCTGCATTTCATTAATTTCACTATTACTTTTAATAGTCATTCACTAATAATTCTCTTCATACTTTCCTCTGCAATATTTCGCATAGTCCTCCTTACAAAACTTCTTGCATTCCTACTAGTGTAATCTGTTGATTACAAATAGTCCACATATTTACTCCAGTCCTCTGAGAATCTCTGATCCCGCAGGTTTCGAATCCTTCCTGTCATCTTATCTAATTCTGCAGAGTCCATTAATTTCGTCTGCCATTCTTCTTTCGTTGGTAGTTCTTCTTGTTTCCATTTCTGTGCCAATAAGGCTCTCCTTATGATATTAAGAAATAATAATGAATGTTCAGGGAAGGAGCCTGGCATCCGACTGATGGTGTTGACTCCTACAGAATCAAAGTTGTGCATTGGTTAGTGTTGGGCTAGGATGGAGGAAATCTGGCTTGAAGAATCCCTGCATCAGCCATGAAGCTCACTGCATGACCTTGGGCCAGTAACTATCTTTTACCCTAACCTACCTCAGAGGGCTGTTGTGAGAACAATGTGTGTGTGCTGAGGTGGGGAAAAGCTGCATATATCATATTGAGCTTCATAGAGTAAATATAAAATGAATGAATGAATGAATGCAGCTCTGCACATTAGTGTTAGGAAAAGGTCATCGGCCACATTAACTGCCCTGTATTGCTTAAGTGCTTTAGCATTGTGGTTTCTGAGCTATGGTTTGTTTGACCTTAGCCCAGAAGTTCTGGGATAGGAGCAAGTCAGGCATTGCTTCCCTATAGGGCTAGAGTTACAGGGAAGCCTGGCGGGGGCAAGGGCTGCTTCCTTCAGGGATATAGATTGGTCTCAACTAGGGCCAGGGCCTTTTCAGTACTGGCCCCGACTTGGTGGAACGCTTTGTCACAAGAGACTAGGGCCCTGCGGGACTTGACATCTTTCCGCAGGGCCTGCAAGACAGAGCTGTTCCACCTGGCCTTTGGTTTGGACTCAGTCTGACCCATAAGTTTCCCTCCCCTTATGGTTTTGATCTATGGGCTACTATTAAAATGAGGCTGCATTTTAAACTGTATTTTAACCAGTATTTTAAATTGTTTTTTTCTTTCTCCCCCTCCCCTCATTATGTTTTTATTGTAATTTTACTGGTGTTAGCCGCCCTGAGCCCAGCTCGGGCTGGGGAGGGCGTGGTATAAATATATTATTATTATTATTATTATTATTATTATTCCAGCTCTCCCACCTGACTCTCAAGAATTTCCCTCTTTCTGTTTAAAAAGTAAGTTCCTAGACTTTACGTGTAAAAAGTAAAGAAGGACAACACACAGGCAGCAGTTCTACCTAACTGCTGACTAAGAAGCAAGGGAGCCTGTGGTGCAATGGGTCAGTGCGTCTGGCTGTTTACCAGAAGGTTGTTGGTTTGAGCCCACCCAGGAATGGTGTGGGCCTGCATTGCAGGGGGGCTGGACTAGATGACCCCTGGTGTCCCTCCCAACTCCATGATTCTATAAGCAATGCAACTAAATAACTTTATGCTTGCTGTGCTGCAATAATTCCCCAGCCCATTAAAGCCCCTTTGTGATACAATTCCTGGCTAAGGGGATTGCTGCTTAATTCCTTCACTATCAGGTCCTGGGCCCAGTGCACTGTAAGTGGATTGGATCCCTTGGTCCACTGAAAAAGAAGGCGCTGATCTGCATAAGATTTGCACCTGCCTTGTGTTATGTGCAGGTTTGTGTCCTATTTTGCAGTCCTAGGAGTAAGTCCCTTTAAAGTTAAAGTGACCTGAATAGACATGTACAGTGGTGCCTCGCAAGACGAAATTAATTTGTTCCGCGAGTTTTGTCGTCTTGCAATTTTTTTCGTCTTGCGAAGCACGGTGTCAGGAAAGTTTTGGAAAAGCTTCAAAAATCACCAAAGTCTTTAAAAACCTCAAAAAAGGCTACCACACCGCGTTCTATGAGTTGCTCCTCGAAGTCAAGTCGCAACTGTATTAACAGTGTTAAGAAAAAGGAAACAAACTTGCAAGACGTTTCCGTCTTACGAAGCAAGCCCATAGGGAAAATCGTCTTGCGAAGCAACTCAAAAAACCAAAAACCCTTTCGTCTAGCGAGTTTTTTGTCTTGCGAGGCATTCGTCTTGCGAGGTACCACTGTACACCATTGTACTGTAAGTTAGCTATACAGTGAATTCTTAATGAGTACCTGTTCTTTATATCCTGCACAGTAGGAAACATGCCTAAGCCTCTTTGCAAAGTTTTCACATTTTGCATTTAACCTTTTTTGTTGTTGTTGGGGGTTAACTACCACTTGTGCTTCTTGTGTTTGCTGAAAATGACATCTAGGGAGTACCTGATCTCAGGAGAACCCACCACAGGAAAGATACTTCTTGGTTGTTAGGGGAGAAGGAAGGGGAAACCATGGAGTTTCCAAGTATTTGAAAATGAGACAGAAACAGGAAAGTGTACCAAAGGGGGAAACAGAAACTTATTAGGACCCCACAGATTCCTATGGCCTGGTATCCAAGTCACATGCTCATCAATCACAGCTCTGACTTCACTCATTGGATAAAAAACACTGACAGGCGGTAGCAGTCAGACTGACTCATCTCACAGAAATTGCATAGGAGGTATCTGCATATTTTGCTTCACAACCTTTCTTCCAGGAGAGCTAGAAACTTACTTTAAAAAACGAGGCCCATTCTGGCTATGAGCCTAGGCTGATCTCAGTACCCCTGTACCCTGTGCCGGCTCTACCATTGGTGCCGGCTCTACCATTAGTGAGTGTCATGAAAGGTCAGCATATTGTTATATTATCCCATTTATGATTGCTTTTGCATTCTGAGTGCACAGGAGAGGTGCTTGTTGGATTTTCTGCCTTGGGTTCCAAAATAACATAGCTGGCCTTGGGTACAAGGCAGCACGAGTTAGCAAGGGGTGGGTTGGTGGCATTTGCTGTCCTGGCTCAGGTGGCAAAATGTCTTGGGTCATTCCCTACCCATTGCGAAGGTGTGTTTAGCATGAATTTGTAGAACAGGGTTCGACAACCCTGTTCCCATCATCCCTGACCACTGGTCCTGTTAGCTAGAGATGATGGGAGTTGCAGTCCTCAAACAGCTGGTGTGAAGGATCAATTTTAGGGCAGAGATTTGGACTATATGAGTTTCAGGAACGTTCTCATTCCGAGGATGCAGTGAAATTACTTCCAGAATAATGGGCTTTGGGGTAACTTGCTAGACAGCTTTTATCTCTGTTACAGAAGCATCCTTCTAAGTTGCACTGGTACCACTGCTGTTTAACCAAACCTTTTATTTACGCAGCAAGAACCAGAACATTTGAGTCGCTGCTGAGCAGTTCCTGCTGGAAAAAAAGCGCTTATTGTGTCAGCAGTTTACTGCGATTCATCCCACTCTCCCCAGCCTCTTTATTTCACTGCATTGTTCGCCTCTCCTCGAGTGCTTAGTTTGAATTATCCATCTGCCTCCAGCTGTTCCTTGTCAAATCTCTCTCTTTTTATTTTTCATCTGCTCATTTTCTTTCAGTATCCATAAATATTTACACAGTGACAATGAACTATAAAGATAGTAAGGACCAGGCAAAAGCAATCGTTCACAAATGGCAGCATCTATTGGATTCCCTCCCCCACAAAAAAAAAAAAACCAACCCAAAGAAACATGAAAAAAAGAAAGGAAAAAGGGGAAAGAGGAACATGCCCTCTTCTGTATTTATTTATGCCTTTGGCTATGCATGATTCCTGCATTCCAGGTGCCCAGTTTAATGGTCTCATGGACAGCCAGTGCCATTCCATAAATAGTTATCTGGTACTAGAATCACATGATGAGGGTTCCAATACTGTGTCACTTACAAATTTCCATGACCAAATCATAGGGGCCACTTCTGGACTGTCGTTATTTTGCAGGTGGGATTCAATTTCATACAATTCAATTCAGGTTGTGCAATTGAAGTGGATCTGGTGGTCTTGCACAAACCTTTCCAATCATTACCACTTCTTGCGGTCAGGAAAGTGACAAGGAAAATCACTGGAAACTGGGGGAAACCATTGTTTGACATGACATGTCCTATGTGTGTACATTTATGGGTTCGGGGGGGGAGTTAGTATGTGTGAGAGAGTGTGTGAACAGGGTAAAGGTAAAGGGACCCCTGACCATTAGGTCCAGTCGTGGCTGACTCTGGCATTGCGGCACTCATCTCGCTTTATTAGCCAAGGGAACCGGCGTACAGCTTCCAGGTCATGTGGCCAGCATGTCTAAGCCGCTTCTGGCGAACCAGAGCAGCATACGGAAACGCCGTTTACCTTCCCGCCAGAGACCTATTTATCTACTTGCACTTTGACATGCTTTCGAACTGCTAGGTTGACAGGAGCAGGGACCGAGCAACAGGAGCTCACCCTGTTGTGGGGATTCGAACCACCGACCTTCTGATCAGCAAGCCCTAGGCTCTGTGGTTTAACCCACAGCGCCACCCACATCCCTGTGAACAGGGTAGCCATCGCCAATTATGGCAATATCTACTACTGTTATGAGACCAGTGGCGTAGTGTGGGGGGTGCAGGGGGGGCCGGCCGCACCGGGCGCAACATCTGGGGGTTAGGCAAATCCACGGGTTAGGGGGCGCAAATCCATGGGTTAGGGGGCGCAAATTACTTGCCTTGCCCCGGGTGCTGACAACCCATGTTACGCCACTGTATGAGACACATACACACCCTGGAACCTGGGAAAGGGTTTAAACAACCCCAACTTTAGCTCCAGATTTCCAGCCTCGATGGCCAGGGCTAAGGAGTTTATCCTTTCGCTTGACCTGTGTTTTGGACTAGGATCTTCTCAAATATGTATGGAAAATGCAAAGAGAGATTTTGCTTAACCAAGCTTCAATTAGGAGGGTAATATTGGATTTTTGCAAGGCAGAGCCACGTAAGAAGAAAAACTCTTGGACCTGGGGGAATTAATCGGGACATAATATGAGCAAAATAAAGGTCAAGCAGGACTGTGGATCAGCCCCAGAGAAACACTCTTTGGACCCACCAGCATGATACAGAATGGTTTAACAATAAATCCCTCTTCGCAGGGAACTCTGAATGTTGCAGCTCTGGGAGGGGAATAGAGGGTCTCAGTACCCTTAACAAACTACAGCTCCCAGAATTCTTTGGGGGAAGCTGTTGAAAGTGGCATGATGCTGCTTTAAATATGTATGGTACAGATGGGGCATTTTTCCACTTACGTCTTCTCTTTAGAGAAGGAGAGGTATGGAGCTGAGCAGCCCATAGTTGCTTTTGCTTTAGAACGTTCTGCATCGAGTAATAATATGCTTTTAACAATTTCTACCATTTTCCCTTTTGCATCTCGTCTTTCATGTTATGACCCCCTAATAGCTAGCGCTTAGATTGTTCTTTCCAGGCTTTCGTAGCCCTACAGGGGAGATTCAGAATGTGCACTGCCATGTAAAAATAGTACCCGCTGCACTCCCTCGCTCTCTCCTTTTAGAAAGAACTGATCCTTATGCGGATTCAGAGCCAGCGTTGTTCACCTTCAGCACAAAGTAAATCTGCTCCTTCTATCATGCGTTTGCTTTTGATAACCCCCTGAGCCAGAGCAACAGAAGACAAGAGGAAAACGTGCTCTCTTCAAAAGCAAACCACCAAAAGATTTGAGAGGCAGGATGAAGCGAGGACAGCAGCAGGAAAATGGAAAGGCAGAGATGGGCTTCTAATGTTGTGGTCCATCACAAAGGAGGGACGCGGGTGGCGCTGTGGTCTAAACCACTGAGCCTCTTTGGCTTGCCAATCGGAAGGTCAGTGGTTCAAACCTGCGATGGGGTGAGCTCCCATTGCTCTTTCCCAGCTCCTGCCAACCTAGCAGTTTGAAAGCACACCAGTGCAAGTAGATAAATAGGTACCACTGTGGTGGGAAGGTAAACAACATTTCCGTGCGCTCTGGCTTACTTCACAGTGTTCCGTTGCTTCAGAAGCAGTTTAGTCATGCTGGCCACATGACTCGGAAAGCTGTCTGCGGGCAAACACTGGCTCCCTCAGCCTGAAAGCAAGATAAGCGCCGGAACCCCCACAGCCGCCTTTGACTGGACTTAACTATCCAAGGGTCCTTTACCATCCCAAAGCATTCAGTTCAGGATTTGACCACACTTCTACTTGTCCCATGCCTAGAAAGCATGGGTCTGAGCGGTTTCCCACTTGCCTTGCTCCTTTTTCAGGGAAAATCCACTCTTTAGTTCCAAATCAGAACAAACAGCTGTTTGTGCCCAATTGCTGTTTGCTCCGACTGAGCGCTAAAGAGTAGTTTTCCCTGCAGGAAAGCAGTAGGAGAATCATAGAGTCATAGAATGGTAGAGTTGTAAATTTGGCCACTAACTTGTTAGCAGGAATGTGGCAGTCAGAATATATTGCATGGATATTATACCAACTGCATTGCTTACATAGAATCGTAGAATCTTAGAGTGGGAAGGGACCCAATGGTCATCTAGTCCAACCCCCTGCAATGCAGGAATCTCAGCTAAAGCATCCATGACAGATGGCCATCCAACCTCTGCTTAAAAACCTCCAAGGAAGGAGAGTCCACCACCTCCCAAGGGAGGCTGTTCCACCATCAAACAGCTATTTCTGTCAGAAAGTTTTTCCTGATGTTGAAGAATCTCCCTTCTTGTAACTTGAAGCCGTTGGTTCAAGCCCTACTGTCCAGAGCAGGAGGAAACAGACTTGTTCCCTCTTCCATGTGACAGCCCTGGAGATATTTGAAAGTGGCTATCCTATCTCCTCTCAGTCTCTTCTTTCCCAGGCTAAACATACCCAGCTCCTTCAACCGTTCCTCATAAGGCATGGTTTCCAGACCTTTGATCATCTTGGTCGGCCTCCTCTGCACACGTTCCAGCTTGTCAATATCCTTCTTAAAATTGTGGTGCCCAGAATTGGACACAGTGTTCCAGGCGTGGTCTGACCAAGGCAGAATAGAGTGGTACTATTACTTCCCTTGATCTGGATACCATACTTCTGTTGTTGCAATATGAGAGCCCAAAGTCCGCAGCTGCAGAGGCTGCACCATACCTGCCAGTTGCATGGACCAATGTTCTGTCAATGTGGTAGAGTGATCAGAATGTTGGCTAAAGCCTGGGACACCAGGGTTCAAATCCCCACTAAGCCATGGTGCTCACTGCATGACCTTGGGCCAGTTACCATCACTCAGCCAGAGTTGTTAGCAGAAGAAAAAGAGGAGACTGGGAAAACACCTCGAGCTCCTTTAAGCAAAGATGGGGTATAAATTTAACAAATAAACCAAGTCCTGAGTCCTGAATATAGAGAGGACCAAGTAGCCCAGTGGGCTAGATCCCAGCATCGGGAAAAGAAGCTAAATGTTTGGGCTATTGTACATTGGCCTCTTCTTGTTTTATGTTGAGCAAGATGTGATCTAAGTGCTCATTTCATCCTTCTTCACTGCTTCAAGGAGAGGATGGTGGAGCTACAACTTAGGATGTTAAACCTGTGCTGTTCCCCAGAGCCAGCAGAGATCCAGTTTCTGCTTTTCCTGTGTTTGGAATGAGTGTCTGGGATGAGTTCAGCATTACTTTTCTCCTGTTTGGGATAGCTCAGTCAGTAGAGCATGAGACTCTTAATCTCAGGGTTCAAGCCCCATGTTGGGCAAAAGATTTCTGCCTTGCAGGGGGTTGGACTAGATTAAGGTTACCAGATTTTTTTCCAAAGAATCTGGGGACCCTTTTAAAAAAAAAAGAAAAAAGTTATTTTTAAAAAGTTGTTGTTGTTGTTGTTATTGTTATTATTATTATTATTATTTAAAAAGAAGTAATATCTTCTCTTCTGTGGCCTCCTCTGTTGCACAACCTTCCTCTGGGCCCCGGCCTGCTCTCTAGGAGCGCTAGCTACATGGAGTAGGCTCGGGTCAGACATGGGCTTGGCCACGTATCCTTGCCCTCCCGGTGCTCTCCTACATCTCATCAGTGGCGGCGGTGGCAGCAGCGTGGCAAGGTCGGGGCTCCCCTATTTTTTCTCCTTCCTCTTTCTCTCTCTTCCTTCTCCTTCTCCTTCTCCTCTCCTTCTCCCTACATCGGCTCTGGCATTTTCCTGGCCCTGGAGCACCACTGGAGAGTCGGCCGGGTGGTCAGGCGCTCTTGCTTCCGGCTCAATTTGGGTCATGGGAGGGGCAGCGGTTCCCCCAGTTGACGCACTGGGCACCCCTGGTTCCTTTTTGGTAGTGGCGGCAGCAGCGGCAGCCTCAGCAACCCGGAGGCAGCCTGATAGCACAGTTGGCTCTGGCTGGCTCCAAGAGCTACTCGCTGCCATGGCGCCCGCCATTTTGCCTCGCCAGAAGTCCCCATATGATGTGTCTTGTGCCATTGAACCAATCCCACAACATCCATTCCCTGATAATAAATCTACAACACTTAAAATATGAATCCGGGGACATTAAATGAAATCCGGGGACGGATTTTGTCCGGGGACATATTTGTAAATCCAGGGACTGTCCCCGGAAACGGGGACGTCTGGTAACCATAGACTAGATGACCATTGTAGACCCTTCCAACTGTATAATTTTGAGAATGCTATGAATGCATAGCCAATGAAACTGGGTAATGACAGCAGGGTGCTCCTTGTTTTCTTCAACCTAACAGCTGATCGGGGTTCCAACAGTCACATCTTGCTTCTCTGCATCCTACCAACAGACCGTCTGTCACCAACCCTTGTGAGCTTGCAGTTGTCTCTCCTCATGAGCAGTTAGAATGACCATGACACTTCCATGGTGTCCCACAACTCATCCATCTGCTGGGGAGAACTGCATTTATTTATTTTTTGTGGGGGTTGGAGGGGGAGCGAAGCCAAAGCTCTTCAGCTAATTGCTAGGGAACTTTCAAAGACTGAAGTCAGCATGCAACCTTGGTAAGTTTCCTAAACTCTCCTCCAGAGGCTTGCTTCCTTTCAGTTGCTATCGATAATATAAATGTGATGGCTCTGTGTCAATATAGGGTAGGAAGGGGGGGGCATAGCGAAGAATGCTATCTTGCTTTCATGTATCTGATGAGCAGAAGGATCCATTGGTCTTTAGCTGCAATCAGGTGGAGCTTGGGTAACCCCAGGCTGCAATGGTAGATATGCTAGATGCATGCATTATAATCAGGAAAATTCCTTGCAGGCATGTGCATCTTAGCCGAAATTGCATACCATAATGTGTATATTAGGAGAAAGTC